CTCCTGCTATATTGTGAACATCGAGGCACTTAGAATTTGGCACCTACAATTTTAATTTGTTCCCATTGTAACGACATACTTAAATCACACATCCGCCTGGTTGGTCACTTGCAACTCAGTGTCTGGTGTTTGACTTTACTGACATCACATGACTCAACTGCCCCCGGGACATGCAGATACTGCATGACTCTACATGATAGCCGGAGTTACCGCGGCGTCAAAACAACTACCCCTATCCTGCACACGAAATATCTTCAACCACAGGCGCTACTAATTTAATTATCGTCAGTGAACACTATTCCGTCCTTTCGATACTGCTATTGCAGATGCGAATCGCTCATCTATTGCAGTGAGACCGGCAACCTATTGCCTGCAGCCCAAGAAATGCAATCATCCACGCCGTATTGTCTGCTCACACTGATGTTAGACACCGAATAATTATTTTAAGCATGCACGAAATCGGCAGTAACCACAGCGTCACCTCAACCAAGCCGACTCGTGCAATCCAAAACTTATCTACCGCCAACGCTAATACGTTCATCATCAAAGGCACCACCACTAATAGCATCGCCGTCACCGGCAGCTTAGTAGGTCAAGACCCATCCTTTTTTACTGGCCTTTTAAATACTATACAGTCTACCGGCAAGGAAGTATTCGGCCACGCACACCGTTAGCAACAGGATTGATTTGATGATAAAGGAACCTCCGAGAAATGCAGACTAAGCAAGATCCACGCGAGCAAATGCAATAACGCCACATAGTTCTGAGATGGACGCCTAGGGTAGCGGAGGCTGAGGGAAATCCAGTTGGTTCGCAGTACCGAGAACGCCCAGGTATACGCCGACCTTGGTGGGATGAAGAATTGAGCCGTTGCCATCAAAGCCCTCTACTGTACACAAGCCGAGGGGGCGGCGTTTCTGCTGAATCAACGTAGTGTCCATCCTCTTTCACAGGACCAGTGCAGAATATTGGGGAGAAGACGACGAGTAGACATCTTTTATGAAGCGCCTATACAGCATTTGTTTACCGAATTGAGTAAACGTAAAATAATGTAAATTAATGGAAGAGTGACGCGAAAAGACCCATCTTACATCGCCTGCCTGTTCGCATGGAAAGACAAAACCTAGACTCAATTACGTGACTCCTCCGTAATCAAGCGGCAGCAGAAAAAAAACTGAAATTTCGCATCGAGACATTTTTAAAAGAACGAAGTTTGAGACTGACAAGGTTTAAAGATTGCGCCATTGCAAATGCTGTCGCTGAAAAAAATGGGCAACTGAATCTTTCGCTAATAAGCGCCTAACTTCTAACGCAGATCGTGGGATATTACGCGCTTTGTTCTCTATCCCCGTTACATGCGCCTGCAACTCCGAAATGCGGAATCTGCTTGTCTTACGTCTACGATATTTTAAGTGTCAATCAGAGCTCTTATGAACATTTAAGACACTATTTGGTCGTCAAGTGAGATTGCTTATATGCTAAGTAAAATAATAATACTTTTTAAGGGACTTCCCGCTTAGAGAAAACAAATTTAAAAAACGTCTCCCTTCCCCTCAAAAGGATGAAAATTGCCCGATTGTTTTGGGTTGCATCTTAAAGTAAAAACGCAAACAGCCAATAAATGTCATACATTTTACTAGCCGGAAAACCGAAGACAATATAAAGGAACTTTAATGTAAGTTCATTAACTAAACAACACGAAGAATGTCAAATGCCCTAAAAGAGGTCACTTTTGCTTTTTCATTTCTTCATCTATCGCCTGAAAACGTTCAAGTAGAGGTGGGTGAGAAAGCGTAAACAGAGAGTAGATATGGTCGTAAACAGGAAAGGACAAGTTGTCCTTGGTTAGCACAATCAGAGCGCTTTTAAGCTTCTCGCCATTCTTGAGTCCAACCGCAAATGCATCAGCATGAAATTCAAAGCTCCGACCGACAAGTGTCATCAAAAAGTCCAGCACAGCATTGTACGGCATGAATACAAACTGGAAAATAATTATCAAACGGAGCAGTATAGGCGTTGTTGAAGGCTGGAAGCCAAAGCTCGTAAACAGAGGGTCCATGTTGATCATTAGTTGGAAAAAGATGAACATTAGAAGGAGATTGACCTGGGACACAACTAGAAGCTTCGCGTTATGGCTCAACTTCCAATGACCCAGTTCGTGGGAAAGTACAGCCAGAATTTCCTCGTCATCCTCACAACCGCGGCTAAGACAGTCAGCACGTCCGGATTCTGACGCTCCTTGTGTTGCAGTCTCGATAGTGTGCGTCTCGGCGTCGTGCGCCGGACTGGTTGCTTCACCCTCCTTTGCGTTTTTATCTGGCAGTTTAAAACCCTTGATAAGCGTATCGAACAAGACTATGCGTTTGTTTGAGCCAAATCCGTAAAAGTAGGCATTGCTGTGAGAACTCCGTTTGGATCCCTCAACAACCAGCAGTTTCTTAAGAGGAAAAGATATGCTCGCAGCTAGTTCCTCAATTTTTGTTCTAAGAGGGCCGTCTGGGAACCTCTCATAACGGTCAAAAAGAGGTGCGATAAATTCAGGATAAATGAACATCAGTGTAAGCGAGACACAGAGGCTGAAAATATAAGCGTACAGGCAGAAGTAGTCACCACCCCATTTAATTATCCATATAAGGACAGCGGAGATCGGCAAACCAATTATCGTACGGATGATAAATCCCTTAAGTTTGTCTTTGAGGAAGAAGCCAATTGTTTGTTTGTTAAAGCCATATCGAGCCTCGATCACAAAATTGCGGTAAAGACTCCATGGTAACGAATCGACGAGTGAAAACACAGATATGTAAAATATAAAAAGCATTGAACACGCTATTTCACTTTCTTTGTTGAACGTGACATGAGCAAGGAAGTTTTCCGGCATAAGAGAGTTGAAATATACCACGTGATCTTGAGATTTATACCAGAGCCATGCTAAAGCGCCAAAGTACAGTAAAACGGTAGTCTCCAGTATGTTATATACTTCGTTGATCAATCCAAAATTAATTTTGTCAATCGAATACAGTCGCGCTTTGTCATAAGCGCTGACGTCCATTAATGATTGCAACGACGATGGTATTTGTTCATTTTGTATGGCCACACTCTTTTGGCGGATGTTGAGGTAACTCTCCCACAGGAAAAGAAGCCATGTAAACAGCAACACGGAGCCGAGGATAGTAACTGGGACACCAGCTACCGTGAACAACACCTCATGCAAAGCCATGAGGGCAAACTTCGAATCCAGCGGCTTCAAAGGAACCAGGCGCCTCAGACAAAAGTTGTCGTTAGCTTTGTTTACAGCGCGCCTGTCTTCGACGTTCAGTATCAGATTCAGTATACTGAGGGATATGTAGGAAAAATTCCTTTGAATGCCTTTGAGTGCCTTTAAGTGACGTTCTTTATTGGTTACAAATACTTTCGGTTGACAATGTAACTTCTGGTGCTGCTCAAGTATTTTACGCGCGTGTCAGTAATACGAATGTTGTCTACCAAACGTATGAGCAGCAAGTAAAGTGAGATCGAGGCTTCATTTAAATGTGTCAATGTTTTCAGTAAGGACGACTGAGACAAAAAAGTTCATTCTAATTTTCAATGGCCCGTTGGGAAAAGAAATTAGCCCGCACATCTTGTATGACATGGTGTTTCTTCAGTTT